TTACATCACCCGGAAATTTTGTGCCCTGGCGTTAGCTGAATTCTGGTTAATTTTGCCGGGAATTTAGTCGTCAGAATTGCTTGTCAGGATGATTTGTCGGGATTTTTACCCGAACAATTACAAAAATATGCAGTTATTAAAATGCTTGCATAACCATTTTTAACAATTACCGAAATTATTAACTATTATTAACTATTATTAATTAATTTGATTTGTCGGGATTTTTACCCGAACAATTACAAAAATATGCAGTTATTAAAATGCTTGCATAACCATTTTTAACAATTACCGAAATTATTAACTATTATTAACTATTATTAATTAATTAATAATTGTTTTATTATTAACTAAAAACTCGGCAGTCCCATCACTAACAAAAATATTTTTGCATTTTTTAAATAAATTTGTAAATACTGATTCGTTAATAGTATTGATAAAACAAGTTCGAAAGAGATTTCAATATAATAAAAATACATTGATCATATGATTTATCAGTGATGCATTACTGTAACAAATTTTTGGTTTTATAATTCTAAATTTAATTATGATATATCGTAATTATTTTAATTAACAATATTTTCGAAATATAAAATTATTTTAGTAATTAAATTTAATTAAGTTTTCCTAATCATGAATTGACAATATCACATGATTTTCGAAACTTTTTGGGCGATTTTACCCCGGTTAATGATAATTGCCAGATTAAACAATAATTTGAAAACATTGTAATATTAGACTAAACTAGACAAAAGTTCTAAGTTAATACTGATTGTGTTTCCATTAATAACCAACTAATGTATTAAAAAACCAAGTTTACAACGATAACTTAACCGTTATATTGAATATAAGCAAACAATACTATCAAGAATGAAATTCCGGATGTTATTAAATTTATAATAGGCAAAATGCTTATTTTGGACCCTGATGAGTAAGTTGTTGCTGAAACAAAAAAAAAAAATTATCAGTTATTATTATTATTAAAAAATTATCAGTTATTATAATTGTTATTATTTTAACAAATTTCGAACTTGAACATGAACTTGAACACGAACATGAACACGAACATGAACACGAACACGAACATGAACACGAACATGAAAAACGAAGATGAATACAACAAATAATAAACAAACATTATAAAATCCTTACGTGGCCCAGGTTGATACATCATGAAAGGATATTGAGCGAGAATAGTAGGTCTGTCGGTTGTAAAATAATCAGATCCGTTATAGATACTAAATGTATACGGTCCTTCAATTAGAGTAGGATTAATGATTGTTGAAGTGTCCCATGTTACAGTGGTAGCACTTGTCGACAAATTTGAATTGATTGTCCAATTTATATGTGTACTGTAATTATATACAGCCAGTGCTACTAAAGATTTGGTTAAAAAATCAAATTCTCCTGAATATTTCCAATTAAATGTAATATTGCGCCCAATTTTTCCATAAACTTTTGAATTTGTAAAGATGAATATTGGCCTTGCAGAGACATCTGGAGTTGGAGTAGGTGCCGGGGCAGCTTGAGTTGAATTTGATACTGGACTTGAGGTCGGATTTGATACTGGATTTGAGGTTGGGTTTGATACTGGATTTGCGGTGGCCGGTTGTGAAATCTGTGGTGGGGGTCCTTTTGGGGGTCCTTGTGGATCTGTACAAAATATGTCGATATTAATAGAAGTACGTATGGTATATATATTCATGTAAATTTCATTTTTATTTTTATTCGTTTTAACGCTAATAATTAAAATAATTAAAATAAGTCATGCAAAATTAATTAATTTGGTTCTCATAACCCGGCCGGGTCAAATTTTGAAAATTTTTGCAAAAAATTTTTTATATGTTTTAATAACCGGGTGAGCTTTTGAAAAAAATTTTTAGAAAAATTTTTATAAATTGTTATATATAAAATTAAAAAAAAAAAAGGTCGGCCGGGTCTATTTTAAAAGGTTCATGTTACGAAAACCAATAAATTAAATTTATGTGGCCTAATTAAAACAATTAACGAATAATTTTCAAACTTTCATTAACCTACTTCTTTTCCTAAGTATTTCATTAGCAGCTACATTTTTATATAATGTTATTATGATTAAAAAAACTAAAAAAATTGTTGTCCAGTTGGTTGCTGTTTTACGCATTATTATATACACCATTTACTTTGTCAAAATTATTCATAAAGTCTAACGATGAATAATATTACAAGAAAATATTATAAGAAATGAAATGAAATAAGTTAAAATCGTCGGCTTAAAATACGTGCTTAAAATATTATTTGAATGCACACGTGAGGTATAAATAACTAAATCTTTAAAAAGTAAGTGTATTTATTTAATCACAATAGAAAAGGATGTATAATCCTAATATATCGATATACATTTTAAATACAGGTCATCAATAACAGATAACCATGATAAATTTGTACTTTTTATTAATGCTGACACTAATGAACCAATTTAACAAGTGTCATTTATTTTTAGAACTGTCACGTAGGCAGTAAATCTTTACAAACTTTAATAATAATAATAATAAAACATGATACAATGGAAATTCAATTTAGGGGAATTTCTATATATAAAATGTTTGATATGAAATGTTTGATACCTGTAACTTTAAAATTTACTATATACCTACGTACGTAAGCACCCGCAAAAGTAAAACAATCTTTTTCCAAGATATATTTATTAATATTTTCTTATTCCTAGCTATACTAGTTATACTATCTATATATATATATAGTTTAGAAATAAGATTTCAAATTTGTGATTGAATCAAATGTGATTGTCTTCAACGTGATTCTTAAAATATTAAATATGAACATTTTAAATATTAAACTTGTTAAGAAACTATAATCTAAATAACCTAAGTATATATTTACAAATTTTTAACCATCTGGATCATGCGTTTCAGGGACTATTTTTAAATTTTGCCAATTTTGCCGGAGGATGAATTATTTATCCATATAAGGTTAAAGCTTCATGCGATGAAAATAGTACGTACGTATGTACTTTTTTAGAATTAACGTTAGCTATAAAAAAAAATACTTTTTTAGAATTAATGTTAGCTATAAAAAAAAAAAAAAAAAGATTTCATATGAGCATCGCCAAATAACAACAGGAAAATTTGGTGCACAATTTTCTTTTTTCATTCATGATTCTCACATTTATAAATAGCTAACAATAGGACCCCAAGCTATACATAGATAGGTCAGAGGATACTAAAAAAAGAAAATTTTAATAAAATTTTCGAATTTTTGATCTAACTATCTATATATAGCTCGAAATCCTCTAAAGATGTGTCATTGTATGTGAAACGCAAAAAATCCCAATCTAAAACTTCAATAAATAGATAAATGAATTACAAATTCATATGGAATCGAAATAAAAAAACAAGTTTCATCAATTTTAGATAGGTAGTTATCGAAATATCTTTGTTCAAAAGCTTTGCCGCAACTTATTTTAATAGTTATCTCGACAACCACCTATCTAAAATTAATAAAGTTTTTTTTATTTTAATTATGCAGACATAAAACCGGAATAAAAAATTTTTCATCAATTTTAGATGCTTTTTCTAAACTTTGGGCGACAACTATCTAAATATATATATATATTTTTATTTCAATTATACAGGCATATAGAATCGGAATAAGATTTTCATTGATTTGCGCAGCTTTTGACAGTTATCTAAGTTTTTGTTTAAACTTTGAAAATATTTCGACAATCACCTGTTTAAAATTGATGAAAAATTTTTTATTTTAATTATACAGGCCGCCTATAGAATCGGAATAAAAAAAATTCCATTGATTTTTAGATTGTTAGAGATATCTTCACTCAAAGTTTTAAAAAAAAAAACTTGAATAACTATCAAAACAAGCTATGAAAACCACCCATCTAAAGTAGATGAACTTTTTTTTATTCCGATTCTATACGCCTGTATAGTTAAAAACTTTTATTTGGATAAATGGTTGTCGAGATATTTTCTCAAACTTTGAACAAAAATATTTCGACAACTACCACACAAACTTATACTATCGGTTTTCATATCACCAATTCACCTTTAGTGACCCGCCGACCCTGATTTTAATTTTTTTTAAAAAAATTTTTTTAATAAAAAATTTTATCTAAAAATTTTATTAACACACAACTTGAATACCCGGTAAAAAAACTTTATATGCTAAAAAACATTTTACATAGTCTAAAATAAATTTTTAGTATACTGGATATATAAGAGCATTTAAGTTCTCTGCCAATATTTCTGATCACTATATATATATTACTATTTGTATACACTATTGCTTTTTAGACTCGTATTAAATTATCTCACGCAATCTATTTCAAAGTATCGGTATCTTACCAATTGATTAAATTTATACGTATGAGCAAAATCATATATCAGACGCCTGATTTGTCACGCAGATCACAGGGGTAAATTTTTTACTATGAAATTTGAGTGATCGACATGCATATGATGGGCTTATTTTTCATAGTAAATTGCAATGG